TTTAAAGACAAAAGGATAATGAATTAAGAGCAGAAATTAATGAAAGAGAAAAAATAAAGAAACAGGTAGCAAGAGATATAGGGAAAGATTTCTGAAATTCTGAGATAGGAAACCAAGATGCCTTCCTGGTTGTAGAGGACTAAAAATTTTATATATTGCAGGGGAGACGAAGTGTCCTATAAAGAAATTTGGGAATATTTAAAGTTAAAGATGCACATATCCTATGCCCATGCAATTCCACTTCCAGATAAATACTTAGCCCTGACAGCTATCTATATATATGCACAATGGAAGTTATACAAAATCGTTCACTGCAATACTATTGTGCTAGTGTAAAATTGTAAAGAACTTAAATATACATCAATAGATGAAGAGAGAAATTGTGGCATTTTTACTCACTGCAGTACTATACAGCCTTGAAAATGAACTAGAGCAACATGTATCAATATGGAAAAAAATTTAAAAAGCACAGTAGCCAAAACTGAATGTCAGTGTGCCAAAAGGGGCTGGTGTCTGGGCCCAGAGGCTACTCAGTGTTCTACGTCAGTTCAGACATTTTGTAACAATGGCCTGAGATAAATACCAACCATCTCGATAAGCAAGAAGTTCAACTCTTGGCAGAGATGTGTATCCTTACTGATGAAAATGAAAATAAAATTGGGGCTCAGACCAAGGAGAATTGTCACCTGAATGAAAACATTAAGAAAGGATTATTGCATCGGGCTTTTGGTGTCTTCTTATTCAACACCGAAAATAAGCTCCTGCTACAGCAGAGGTCGCATGCTAAGATTACCTTTCCAGATTGTTTTACCAATACATGTTGCAGCCACTGGTTACGTAATCCAGGTGAGCTTGAGGAAAACGATGCCCTTAGAGTATGGGGAGCAGCACCGTGGTCTAAAATTCCTCCAGAAGAAATTAATTATTTGACACATATTGACTAGAAGGCCCAGTCTGACAGTGTCTGGGGTGAACATGAAATTGATTACATTCTGTTTGTGAGGAAGAATGTGATGTTGAATCCGGATCCCAGTGAGCTTAAAAGCTATTGTTATGTGTCAAAGGAAGAACTAGAAGAACTTCTGAAAAAAGCAACCAGTGGTGAAATTAAGATAACACTATTGTTTAAAATTACTGTAGAGACTTTTAAGTTATCTGGCGGGATAACTTAAATCATTTGAGCCAGTTTGTTGATCACGAGAAAACACGTAGAGTGTGAATGTGGAGGTGAATGATTACTGCAGAATTTCTCTACTTAGTAAACTTAGAATGACTTTTTAAAAAAATTTGGTTCCCTATTGGGAAATCTCTCATCTGATACATTGATAATTTCCAACTTGTGTGGAAAACACAACTAATAATTTTGTATCACACACACCCTGTTTATGCTCTTTTGTAAAAGACAGGAGAGATTATTGTAAAATAAAAGAGAACAAATAAAACTTAATTTAACCTATCAAAAAAACCTAAATGTCTAGATTAATGCTATTCTTTATAGTTTTGTTGAAATATTGTTTATATAGAGTAAAAATGCAAGGGAATGATGCAAATTACATTCAGGTAACCTGGGAAGAGTAAGAGGGAAATGGAAAAAGGAAGAGTACACAGAGACACACCTGTATATTTTATTCCCTCAAAAATAATGTCAAATAGAAAAAAGAGGAAGAAAGAAATGTATAATCAATGAGTCAGAATATGAATACAGTTGAGGTTTTGATTCGGTATTGTCAAACTGCTTTCTAAGGATGCATCTGTGTCTTACTGCAATGGAGAGTTTAAGCACAGAAGCTTGGTTTTGAAGGAGGCATGTGGCAATCCCTGTCCTTTGTGGCACATGCCCTCCTGTCACTCTCACGACTCCGCTTTCAGGAAGATTCTTGAAATACTGAGTGGTCTGCAGGGCTGTCTTTATCTCTTCTGTTCCCATTCATCCCCCGCCCCGAACCACTGGAATGGTCTACTAGCCCCACACAGTAATGAAACTTGTTTTTGCCAAATCTCTAATGACTCTTTCCTTTTTCTGTCATACTGACTATATTTAAACGTTTAGACCCACCTTTTTCTTGGATCTCTCCCTCTCTTGGGTTTCTTTGTTTTTTCATTGGCTGTAACTACGCAGTCTCCTGACTAGGTTTCTGTTGCTTCTCTGTGATACATTGTTCTTTCTTTCAATTTTGATGTTGAGTCTTTGTCATTCTATGCACTCTCCAGATGATCTTGTTCAAACTCCAGACTTCTACTATTTATACACTAATGAGTAGCACTGTTGTATCTTTATTCTAGATTTTTCTCCCAATCCCTAAACCCTTAAATAGTATAACCACTATTTCCACTCAGATGCCTGACATGTCTATCAGTGTAAATATGTTTACTACTGAGCAAATGTACATATTTTTCCATCTGTGTTCTCTGTGTTGCTGTCATTTATTCAGTTGTTTAAGCTAGAAACGCTGGGATTTCCCCTGGCACTTCGCTCTTCCCCATTTCCTACATTCTGTCTTCCTCCTCCTTCTGCCCTCCTCTTGCTCCTTTCCCTCAGCTCCTTTTCTCCTTTCTTTTCCTTCCTTCACTTTTACCTAGTTCTTCTTTTGTAGTTTCTTCTGTTTCTTTTCTAGGCAGAAAGTGCCATGGTATTCAGCTCCCCTTCCACTCTAGTCCTTGCTTGCCTGCCCTGCTCCTTTACAAAACGGCAACAAGAGCAAATACCTTCACAGTCTACTACTCTGTGGGTTTTATTCTTGAAATACCTATTTGCATTTTGGTTTCGTGACTTTGGGCAAAATACTGAAGCTCCATTTGCTTTGGTTTCCACTTCTTTAAAATGGGTATAATAATAGTACTTAAAGCCAGAAGGATGGTTGTGAGAATCAATACTGGTGTCTGTGAAAGGACACAAAGCCACACCTGGCACATGGTCAACATGATGTGAGTATAAGCTTTATACAGATTTCTTAGCTGTTATGGCTTTTATTATTGCATCTATTATTATTATTAGATTGTCTATTATCTGTCTCCATTATTTACTACTAGAGATTTTCATTTCATATTAATTCATTAAGTAATATTTAAGGTGGTTAGTCTTCCGAAAAAATTCAGCAAGTTTTTCACATATTTTCACAGGTAAAATTTTATTAATTAAAAGCTTTACAATTCCCTTTAAAAATTGAGCTTAGTTTTCCAGGAAGGAGGAACAATGTTTGTGGCGATGTCAGGGGTTTGTGGAGAAATAGCCCTAACAGTTCTGTCAGTGCTATGCAGATTTGGCCCGGCTCTAAAATAGTCAGGAATTTTTGTGGCTTGGTTGTTAAAATATTGGAAGCTTGAAATTGTCAATGATGTGAGGATTTGGTAGCTTGACATTGTCAATGATGTGAAAATTTGCAAATTGGCAAATACTGTTAATAATACAAATCAGGGCTCTTGCAACCAGAGAGATCATGTACCAGCATATCACTATATAATCTTTGCTAAAGGTCAGGATCACTATGAAGTTTGATGTAATAACAAACTGTTGTCCTGCGAATTTTAATACATCAAGCGGTAAATCGTGCCTGCAAGATTTAACAACTACTGTATGGATTGTAAGTCAATATAATAGTTACCTGTAATCTGGGTGTTAGTCCCATCATTCAACATCAAAGGAGGTTCCTTTGTATATTTCTATGTGTTTTGAGTGATTGCTGGCCAAATGAAGTTTCGGAACCATCTTAAAAAAAAGTAAAAGAAAAATATACTTCTTTAACAAAGAGGAAATACATATTTTCAAAGAAAAATTTCCCCCAAATTTTAGAACCAAGTTAGGGAAAATGCAGATTTTTAGAATAATTCTTCAATTTTACTTACAACATCCAAACTGGAAGAAAATAGTATGAGAAAATATCTTATTAGGCTCTGAATATTTATGATGATAATGAGTTATACTTCCCCTATTGAAAAACTGTCTCATAAAATGCTAAACTGGTTGCTTGCTTTTTTCTTTTTTTTTCATTTTACCTAGCTAAAAAACCACACGTAAGATCTTTTTGAAACTGACTAGTTCTCCGGTTCCACTTCCTGTTGTGAGGAGTAAAATGTATCTCAGACGCAAGGAAGTTCTCGAAGAGTGTTTTCATTCTCTCATGTAAACCAATTTAGGTTTCAAATGCAAGCACATATCAAGTGAAACTGAGACTCCCTGAATTTGTTATTTCTGTAATATGCAGTCTGTTTCTGGCCAGGGAAAACAGTTTTAACAGTTAATAATTTATTTTAGGAGAGGTCTATCAAAGCAGGGTTGGCTCAATGTCTAAGCTCCTCTCCCTCCTTAAGAAAATAAGAAAGGACCTTTCTTTGAGTTGCGTGCTCACTTTGCTTGAAGTATTATTGTCCTTCTCATCCCATTCTAGGCACAAGAACCTAGTGTAGACCACGGGCTGGTCTTAGGTGAAATTGAGACAAAGCTCACATTCTGATTTGGGGCTTTCCCTGGAAGCAGCCGTGGAGTTTGATGGTGTAGCTGGACAGACCTCTGTCCCACTGGGACTTCATAAGGTTTGGGTGGAGGAGACAGACTGGCGATACCCGGTCTGAGCATTGGCATGGATGCTGCCTCCTGCTGCCTTTGCAGAGCTTGAAGCTGTCCTCTAGGGACTTTACTCTTACTTGTTCTTTTAAAAGCTGCCCTTTTTGTTTGAACTAACGTAATTTCATCTTGCTTGTCTGGGGCCCGAGCACTCTAGGAACGACTGTCTACAATTCCCTTTTCTCCCTACTCCCCTGGCTCTTAGTTTCTGTTAAGTACTCTCTGGGGACTCCTGGACTGCAGATTTCCCAATTTTACCCACCTTCTAACGTCACTGACTCTCTTCTTTGCCCTTAGTCCTGGCTCTCACTCAGCTAAGTTTTAGTTACTCAAATATTATATGTATTTGGCAAAAATACTTTGCCAATACATACTAGTTGGATTTTACTGATTTCAGATATTGGCACATCAAAAAGACCTCAGGAAATGATTTGTGAGAATGGTAGGAATTTTAAACCAAGAGGTAGGTCAGTGTGGGTATATCTGCGAAGTGGGGCAGAGACTAGGACCTTTCCATGATATCATGCCTGGGTTTCGGTAACATGCCATGATTATAACATGTCTAGCTTTGCTTAAAACTTAGGGCAATTATTGCCTTTGTCTTTAGAATGATTAATTTCTTTGTGGATAAAATTGTATTCTAACATTCATAAAATAAAAAGTCAGTGTGGTATTTCCCGGGATCTGTATTCTCCAGGAAATATAATTTAAGCACTTTAGCTTCATTATCACTGTTGAAGAAAACACAAGTCATGCTTATCATAAAAAATTATTATGAATTTTTTTGTTTATTAGATATGAAGTACTTGTTTATATCAATGATATGTTGCATATCATATAAGGTAACGTTGTTTGTTCTCAGAGCATTTTCACGAATAAATCTTGCCAAATCTTTATGAAACCTAAAGAATTAGAATTATTATAAATGTCTTCATTTTACAAATGAGGAAGCAGATTCAGAGATTGCCTTCTTGGGTAACACAGCTACTAATTATGACAGCCATGAATTGATTCCGGGCCTCTGGATTTAAAAATCCTATCCTAATCCACCATATCATATTCCCTCTTCAAACATGTAATAGAGCCATATACAATAGCTATTAGATCAATAATTAGATATGTAGAATACAAGCCAGGCACATCTAGAATAACTTATAAGATGCTGTTATAAGATTACACGCCAACTTTTAGAACTGCTTTTCAATTGTATACTATTTTTCTCTGAATTCTCTACATATTGACATAAAAGATTGTCATTTAAACATGAATAAATTCAGCTTAGGTATTGTAGATGAAAAAGGAAACTTCTTTAAGCCAAAATTCTCTCTCTCTCTCTCTCTCTCTCTCTCTCTGTTCACACACACACACGCACACAGCCATTTGAAAACATTTCTTTTGTTTACTATTTTTGCTGATAATATGCTCTTTTACACTTGTTTAAAACGTATTATGAATAAAATATGTATTTCAGATATATTGTCTTATGTCTGACTTAAATATTTGAAAAGCTAGGACTAAATAGTAGATGGTAACTAATTTATCTTCCATAAAACATGTAAGAAATATTCAAAGATACTTAAAAACAGAATAAAATTTAAATTTGGCTATAGAAATAAGAATTTTCTGATGAGGAGGATCCACAGTTATGGAGATCTCACTAAAAGAGGTTGTGGAATTTCTTCTTCTGGGATATTTAATTCATGAGGTTTAGGTGTAACCCTACGTGGTAGCAGGACCATGAATTTAATAGTCCCAAATGAGCCTGTAATATTTTGAGATGGTAACACTTATCTTTGAGGTTTATTTAAATAATCGTCATTATTTAGAAATTGCAGGAATAGAAGCAGGATGTATTTTTCCTCTTCTCACCAAAATATAAAAGGGGGACTGGTTTATGATTTTTTAAGAACTTCCGTGAACACCGTGCTATCATAACCAAAGTGGTAGTGAGAGAGCAGCCTGTGGGTGGGAACAGGAAACATTAGTGATAAATGCTCTGTGACTTTTTTTTTTCAGGTTCAGCTCAATGTATATCGATTCTAATTAGCACATTTTGTGCCTCAGCTCTAAGCTCCCCGTTAGCTCTGCCTGGAGAGTTTTTTTTAGATTCCATCCTGCTCATAAACACTGCCACCTCCTCCCTCCTTCTCTCTTTACAAATGTTACAACACAATCAGAAATTTCCTCTTTTCTTTCCTTCCTGCATTTTCAGCAGGTTCCCTTGCGTCAGAAGCCGAGGAAGAAAACTCAAGGTAATTAGATCTCTTTTGTTTCTTCATCCCCTTGCGCGTGAGTGTGGATTTTCTCCTGGATGCCTTCCTTGGGATCAGATTTTTGTCTGTTTTACCGCTAATATGAGGAGGTGGAGGGCAGACTAATTTTGGTTATTTTTGAATCGATTTGAAGAAATGACGACATGCTGTTCATTTGAATGAATCCCTCGTGGTATGTCAATAGAGCTTAGACAAGCTGGCTCTGAGTCGGGAAGTAGCTGTGTTTTTAGGTGGGCATTAACCCTTTAACGTCTCTCGTGTAACTACTGCTGTTATTGTTGAAAGGAGCTGGGTTACTGCAATGATGTGCCTGCCAGCCTCAGGATTTTAAATTTGTTCAACTTATTTTGGGTGAATGATATTCTTAGACTAATACTTGCGTATTAGTCTCCCTGTTTCTTTGGCCATATCTTAAACCTTCTAAGCATCAGATGAATTTTTAAAAATAAAACAGATACATACCCACCCCCCTTTTTTGCATTAACTTTGCATAAATCTTATGCAACTCCCGGCAGGTAAACAATTAATTAAGAGTTGCCTTTCACTGTGTCACATAAATCAGGGTAATACTTTAACTATCTCTTCGTGTAATTGTTGCAGGTCTTTTCAGGATGAGTCGGAGGAGGATATCATGTAAAGATCTGGGACATGCTGACTGCCAGGGATGGCTGTATAAGAAAAAGGAAAAGGGAAGTTTCCTAAGCAACAAATGGAAAAAGTTCTGGGTGGTGCTGAAGGGGTCGTCCCTGTACTGGTATAGCAATCAAATGGTGAGTAGCTTTCTTCCTCCTGTTCCCAGCCTCTTTAACAAAGGGTGCATTAAAGATCACAGATCGGGTGATCCCCATGGGAAAGTTAATTTTGATTTCTGGGACTTGGAACAGAGCTAACAAACACATAAGGCATAGAAACCGTTTCTGGTCCAGTAGATATGTAGGTTATTCTATTGTATTTTATGAGGTAGAAAACCATCCTGCTCGACTACTCTTTGGCTGGGGAGGAAGGAGGTGTCGAAACTGATGTCCTTGCTGAAAGAGGCTTTCAGGTTCTGTTAATGTTACTGTTCCGAGAGATTCTAGTAGCAGACTTATGTGGACATCAGTTAATATGGGAACTTTACATTGTTAAGATCTCTCTACTAAAAAGGGAATCAGCTTTACAGCTTATCGAGGATGTCAGTTGATCCAGTTCAGTGACGCTATTTCCATTCCTCCTCCTTTACTGTCTTCTCTGTCCTTTCCTCTGACTCTGTTTATTAGGTGGGTTGGTTTGGAATCGCTAACCTGGGTGCCACCTTTGTGTTAGAGATTGCTGTCTCTTTGTTCCTTGGCGTGCTCAGGGATGGCATTAAACTACTTGTGCTCGGACAACACTTGATAAGATAGTTGCCTAGTTTACCCTGTAATAGGCAGTACACTGGTGTGGTCTGCTTCACAGGCTAGTTTTCCTGTGGAAAACAGCTGGAAATAAAGTTATTGTTAGAAGGTGTGCTGGTCTTTCATGGCCTGAAACATATTGAAAACCATGATGTTGAATAGCGAATGAGTAAAGACTTTTCCAAGGAGGAACCCTCACCACTAACCCCAGTGGAGTTGACTGTTGATCTCAGGACAGCTTGAGTTTCTTTGTGGTATGGTGAAGATCAGCAATGGATATCCTTCAATTAATTGAGGGAAAAGTATTTAGGAATTGCCTATGAGCCAGAAGAATTCTTTTTCTGTGACACCAGTCTTTTGAAATGACTTGTGCATGCCCACCACTCAAGCAACAAGCTGTAACACCTGCAGCTTTATAAATGCAAAGTAAGTGCTGCACATTGTTTGTTGACCAGAGTTTTAGTTGATAAATTTACATTCACTGGCCACTCATCAAAAATCTGTGTTACCCACATGCCCCTGGGCACTGGCACCTGTCTGGTAAAGACTTGCTTGAACTGTCTTGGAATCCAAGTTCAGTGCCCAGGAGCAAGCACACTCCCCTGTCAGCCTCTCTGCTTCCCGTTCCCAAGCTTATTGCTTTATCTTCACACCATTCGAAACATGGTGCAAAGCTCCTCATCGAGTTCCATAAAAATATGTTTTTTGCAAGAATTTGGTGAGTTTTGACAACTTTATCAAAGTTTTAGGGGATTCCCAAGAAAGTCATGTGGCAAAGTGTGCGGTTGCCCACTCTCTTCTTTTTTCTCTTTTTTCCTCTCCCCACCTGGGTATGTTCGTTCTTCATCTCACCTAGCGTGAATACTTTTGCCCAAATTAAGGCAACCTGGGCTGTGATCTCACCTTCTATTATAAGGGAGTTTTCCTAAACAAATACAGTTTCCTTCTTAAGAGGAATTAAGGTTGATATAAATTTTTCTTGTTTCATATTATTTTAGGCCTTTGCTTTTGGCTAGTTGTGGCAAATATGTTCTGGGTGCTCTCTCTGTCTTCACAGAATTTAAAGTCCTTCTGAGCCACACATGTTTACATATTGGGTTCCATCAGCTCATTTGGCTTATGCATCTCTTAGAGGAGCAATGAGTTACCTAGTTTAGGCGTTAGAGGCCTCACGCTTCCACAGGTAGCAGACTAGACTAGAGAGGAAAAGGACAGAGCCTCGAGACACACTCAAGCACTCCTGTCCTGACTTGCTTTCATGCCAACACAGAAAGCAGGATTCAGGTTGCAAGTCATGCACTTGAACACAGAGGAGAATAAACTTGCTGTTATCTCAGGGGACTATAGGATTAAGTTAATGGTATGTAACAGAAGGACCCTTCCATAGAGGAATTCATTCTCTCTTTCTCTCTCTCTCTCTCTCTCTCTCTCACACACACACACACATATAACCAGACATCTTAATTATATGTTTGTTGTGACAGAAAAAGGCTACTCATTGAACACTTAATTAGCATGTTCTTGCTATCTGTGTGAATAGCAACTGTGAAATAAAGGCCAAGCACATACTCTCAAGCTAAGATGATTTATTTACTTTCTGCCACTCAAAGAATTCAGATTCAATAAAGATGCTCCCAAAGCACCTAAGCTTAATGAGCAGACTTCTTATTCAACCTTCCGTATTGCTCAATCTTGAGGAAGGACAAGCTCTGTCATTGACCCTTTCTTCCATAGCCTGATATGAGAGACAACAGAGCCAATAGCATCTTAGTAAGAGCCACCTCTTACTGAGTGTCTACTCTATGCCAAGGGACAGATGATTCCAGGTGCCTTTCATACCCGCTCCTATTTACTCCTCAAAAACTCCCTCACAGGTAGTAATTGTCTCTGTGTTTTGAAAGTTGGGAAGATTGAGATTCCAAGAGATTGTGTAAATTGTCCCAAGTCACACAAGTAGTAAGGGGAAGAAAACAGATTCGCGTTCGAGCGCCTGTGACTCCTGAGCCCGTGATTGTTACAACAAGCCCCCCTGACTCCATCTGGGGACCAGGGTACGTGACACAATTGAGACCACCCTGTGTTCTGCCTTCAGCAGGGTTCTGCGAGGACAGCTCTAGAAATAAGATCTAGGGCAATTCTCCTTTGAAATCACAGGCGATCTCCTTGCATCCCCGTGCTTGTTTCTATTGCTCTCTTACACTGCCTGAGGAAGCCACACCAACCTCACCGCTCTCCTGGTTTTGTTGTTGTTGTTGTTATCCAGTAGTTGATGCGTGGCATACCTTCTTTTTTACCCCACGTTGCTGCTTCAGACAGTCCTACCCAATATCCATTGAGAAAGGTCAAGTCCAGGGACTCATTTGCCATTTTTCACACCACGTTTTATATGCTTAGAATGTGACGCATCACAATCGATTGCATGCCAAGTCCCACAAAACCATATGCAAGTTTAACAGCCATAAAAACCCAGGCTGTGTAAAATCCTGGATTTCAAATCTACAATCTTGTTTTCTCTTGCTCTTATGAGAAAGTGCAAGTTCATTTCCTGGCTCAAGGGAATCTCCTTAAGAGGTACCTGTCGTACTTGCCCACACTCCCCACCCCAACCCGAGCTTCAGGGATGGAACTTCTAATTCCTGTCATCGTCTGGGCTGGCTCTTGCTGAGCCTTTGCGTATGCTGTTTTCTGTGCTCAGAAAACTGTCTCCATGCCCTGAAGTCTTTCTCCCAACAATCCCATCAAACTTGTCCTCCTCATAGGTCAAATTTTAGTTTAAATAGCCTTCTTCGAGGTGGCCTTGCCTTATCCTCTGACCTAAATTTGGCCATCTCTGCTTCCTGAGCAGACTATATTTTCTCATTATTGTACTTGGCCTTTTTTTTTGTACCTATTTGTCAGACTCGCTGTTTTTCATCATTGATAATAATCTCTATAGAGTGAGACCACAGGTGTGTCTTCAGCACCTTACTCAGTGTCTGACATTTGATAGGAACTCAATTAATAGTCATTGGTTTCATGAATAAATGAGCATTAGGAGTCATCAGCACTTATATTGCCCATGGGAATTTTGAGATATGGGATCATGAATAAGGGCTGGTTTTGACAGAAAATAACTTTCCAGTAAAGGATTTCCACCTCTATTCTTAAAAACAGATACAGGAGAAAGAGCAATTTGAGGTTTGTTTGAAAGGTTCCATGATCCCAAATACAACCCGCACAGCTGCTCCCGTTTTGCTAACATGTTATTAGAACTTTTGAGGAGTAGAGGGTGGGGGCGGGCGTTCTAGTCTTGAGACTTATGTGAACAAAGGGATGAAAGAAAGTATACGTGAGCTGTGCCAACCTACTGTGTTAGGCATTATATGGAATTTTCATAATAACTGAGCAAGATAGATTTATTATTCTCATTTTTCAAGCGAGTTTACTGAAGCTCAGGGAATTTAAGTAACTCGTTCAAAGTCTCAGAAAGATTAAATGGCAGAGCTGAGATTTAAAAGCAAGATTCTCCAACACCAAAATCAAACTTTTCGCCCTAGGCTGCCTGGCTTCTCCATCTAGAGGTGACAGGACCAATAAATGCGGGCCTCAGACACACAGTGCAGGAATGTGGATTTGATCCAGCAGGCAGTAGGGAGCCACTGCATGTTCTTTAGCTGGAAGATGATCTGGTGGAATTGGCATGTGAAAAATATTAACCTAGCAGCAATAAATAGGATGTATTGGAGGATGGGAGATCTTTCAGAAAGCCAGTTAGGAGATGGTGGGAAAATGTGGGCATTCAGACATGAACTCCTGGACTAGAGTGCTAACAGTGAGAATTTTGGACATACTGCACTAATATAATAAGAAAGGGCAAGGTACGAAGAGTGCTTGGATACAGGACACAAAAAATTTGAGGCTAAAATAAGAATGATTTTAGAGCCTGGGGAGACTGGGAAAATACTGTGAAAATTGAGGGACCAGGAATTTGTGACAGAAAAATGTAGAATTTCATTTTGATTCATTGTCATTTACTTTTTTGGTTTATTTTAGTTTTGTGCATTATTTCTTTGTATAAATTTACCAGAAACTTGTGTTTTTTTTAGTTCCCATTTATTGTACCATTTGTGCTGATGCTGTAGCATCCACAGTTCAAGGAAGGTCTGGGGCGTCCTCTAGAAAAAGTGAATCACCCAAGTATTTCATAAAAACTTTAGGCAAACTGATGAGGTTCATAGGTTAGTATGTGGTTGCATACTTGTTATGCAGACTTTTCAGTTCTTTGAGAATCCAATCTGCTTGTGCAAATGTGATCGCATTTTTCCTTGACTGAATGGTTCCACGTGTCTGAGGATTCACGTTATCTACATCATAATGTTTTCTGTCTTTAGCTGCATGTGCACATAAGAGCTTAG